CCCCCCCCCCCCCCCCAACACACTCCTCAGGCACACCTCGTGCCCCCCTCCTCCATTCCTTCATCATGCACCATCCAAGGCTGGTCCTTCACCGCCTCCTTCTTCTTCCTCCTTAGGTGCTGGGCCTTGCACACCCCTTGCACACCCCTTGCACGCCCCTTGCACACCCCTTGCACGCCCCTTTGCACGCCCCTTGAACACTCCTCACACCCTCTGCATGCTCATGTCTCCGTGGTGACAGTATCCTCGTCCCCCCCAGGGTGTGGGTGTGATGTTCAGGGCGTCTGCTCACCCTTGCACGCCACTTACACACAATTATACACCCTTGCACGCCCCTGTGACCGTGTCCCTGTCCCCCCCAGGGTGCGGGCGTGATGTGGGTGTACCTGTTCACCCTCACACACCCAGTCCCTGTCCCTCATCCACCCCATCCCTGTCCCTCATGGGGCACGGGTGTGATGTTGGGGTGCCTGGACACCTTTGCACACCCTTGCACACCCTCGCATGCCCTCGTGACCGTGTCCCTGTCCCCCCCAGGGCGCGGGTGTGATGTGGGTGTACCTGTTCACCCTCGCACACCCTGTCCCTGTCCCTCATCCACCCCATCCCTGTCCCTCATGGGGCACAGGGGTGATGTTGGGGTCCCTGGACGCCCTTGCACGCCCTTGCACGCCCTTGCACGCCCCCGTGACGGCGTCCCCGTCCCCCCCAGGGCACGGGCGTGATGTCCTTGTACCTGTTCACCCTCACACACCCTGTCCCCATCCCTTGTCCACCCTGTCTCCATCATGGGGGTGATGTTCACCCTCGCACATCCCGTCCCTGTCCCTCATGGGGCACGGGGGTGATGTTGGGGTGCCTGGACACCCTTGCACACCCTCGCACACCGTTGCACGCCCCCGTGACCGTGTCCCTGTCCCCCCCAGGGCACAGACGTGATGTGGGTATACCTGTTCACCCTCACCCACTCTGTCCCCATCCCTCGTCCACCCCGTCCCTGTCCCTTGCCCACCCCGTCTCCATCACGGGTGTGATGTTGGGGTACCTGGACGCCCTTGCACACCCTTGCACGCCCTCGGACACCCTTGCACGCCCCCGTGACCGTGTCCCTG